CCTCTACTCAACAAAGTAAACATACTTACCAAGTTTAAAGTCTTAAACCTAACAGTTCAAAAAAGTAAATTTTTTTTTATCAATGTGAGCCCCGTAACCCCCTTAGAGGGTCGATTTCTATATATCCGTTCTTAGGAAATTTCAGTTCAACAAACGAAACATGTATATCAAATTTCGTTATTGCAGTTTTAGTAGTTCAAAGACAGAAACATAATTTTTATCAATACATCAAAGTAATTCTCCGCTCCCCCATAGGAGTCGATTTTCACAAAAAAAACCTGTTCTTAGGGAATATGTACTCAATGAAAGGGACATGCCTGTCAAGGTTTAAGATTGTACGTCTAATACACTGCTGGCCACCGTAAATGCAACACCAAGAAAGACAAGAGATAGCACAACAAAATTTATTTTGTAGATAACATGTTCACCAAATATCAAATGATTAAATTTATAGACTTCTGTGAAATGTGGTTCCTGCCAGAATCAGTAGCCAGAGTAGCCGCCATTTGTTGAAAATCACCGCTGCCACACGCCTCGGCATTGATTCAAAGAGACTTTGGATGTGTTCTTGGGGGGTACAGTAGACCAAGCAGCTTCCACACGTTGCCAAAGTTGATCTGGTGTGGTAACTAGGGGTGTAATCTGGGTCAATCGTTGACTACATGTTTTCCATCGGCGAAAGATCCGGAGAGCGAGCCGGCCAGGGAAGCAATTCAATCTGGTGATTGACGAAGAACCTTTGGACAATGCGTGCCAAAGTGTGGTCGCACATTATCCTGTTGAAATATGGCTGTGGCCAAGCCCTGAAGGTAAGTAAGGACAACTGGCTCCAACACTTCGGAGATGTAGTGCTGGCTGTTTAAAGTACCGGCAATGCGTACTATAGGTGTGCGAGAATGATATCCAATACCACCCCATACAATAATACCCGGTGCAGGACCAGTGTGGCGGTGCATAACTCAGCTTTTCAGCATCCTCTCTCCACGATGTCTCCAGACTCGAATCCGACCATCGTGGTGTTGCAGACAGATGCGTGACTCGTCAGTAAAGACAACTTCATTCCATTCTGCCGCCTACATCCTTCTTTCATCGCACCTTTAGCGGCGGAGACGTCTGTGGTTCTGAGTCAAGGGTAGACCAAGCAATGGACATCTTGCGGACAGACCACTCTGCTGCAAATGGCGTCGAATGGTACGCGCAGACACCGAATGATGCGTTACAGACTCAATGTGCTGTGCTATGGTTCGAGATGTGACTGAGCGATCCGCCACTGCCATGCGCACAATTTTCCTGTCCCCACGTGAAGTGGTGCACTGAGGTGGATGCGATCGACCACGTCGGTCCATCGTACCTTCCTGCATTCAACGGTCAGATATCCGCATTACAGTTGTTTGGTTTCATACAACACGACTACCGATTTCCCTAAAAGATAATCCACAATCTCGGTAGGCCACTATCCTTTCTCTGTCGAACTCGGATACTTGATCAGAAGCTGATCACTGTTTTCTATGAGACATAACTGATTGTTTTTTGAAAAACCCACAAGAAACACACAATTGCCGTACTTAAAATCGTTGAAATCTCCAAGCCTTAAATAGCGTTTTGAGGTGGCGCCACAGTCGTGCGTGAAGTGTATCTGAGCTGAAATTCTAATCATTTGCATTTCTCACCTCCGCTAATGCATGTTGTAAGTTTCATCTTATTTGTGTGCTTCCTTCAGGGTATTGCATTTACGGTGACTAGCAGTGTAGTTTTAAATTGGAAATGATTTCCTTAACGTCCCTTAATCTCCCACAACGATACTTAGGGTCGATTTTCGTAAAAACCATTTTGTAGTGGATCTCTACTCTATAAAAGGAATCTACTTACAAAATTTCAAGGCTATACGAGGGGTGATACAAAAAAAAAAACGAGATTGGTCGAATAAATCATTATGCATACAGAATCAATTCTCCGTGGCATTATCACCTTCAAAGTAGTTCCCGTTCCCTTCAGCATTCACACACTTCTGCATTCAGTGCTACCATTGCTGGTAAAAGTTCTGGAATGAGATTTTTGAAAAGGCCCTTCAGGAGATTCTCCGTTTTTGCCTGAACCTCTTCAACTGAGATAAAATATAGGTTCCCTTTAAACAAGATTAACTGTAGGAAATACAAAAACGTCACAGGGAGCCAAATCAGGTGAATAAGAAGAATGTCCTAGCACAGTAATGATTTTGCTGGACAGAAACAAATTGATAGATAGGACTGTGTGAGCGGGTGCATTGTTTTGGTGCAACCGTCATTCATCACTCCCCAATTCTGGCTTTTCACTGAATTTTTCCCGGAAATCTTTTTAATACTTCAATATCGACTAACAGTCTGACTACTGATGTGAGTGGGAACCCATTCATATCACGAAATTTGACAACAACTTTGTCTTTAATCGCTTAACTTGGGCGGCCAGCATGTTGTAACGGATCTAAACGCGGTTCTACTAATATCTTCTTTTCTCTTTGAAACAAAATATTTATTCAACCAACTTTCATCGAGAAAGCGAGCGTGATTTATGTAAATGAGGTATATTATATAAATTCAGTTTTAGCGAGTTGTCAAAAAGTGAAGTAAGAGGTTAAGTCAAGTGAAGTCAAGTGAAGGAAAGGAAGGGAGCAAATGATTTGTTGACACGTTGTTTTTGACAAGCTGAAGGTGATACGTTAGATGTGTGCAAGTAGGAGTGAGCTTGAAGTGTGAGAATTAGTTAAAGATTGCAGAGCGTGGAGCCATCGTCAATTGATCAAGCCGAAAAGTGTGTCTACAAGTTCCAGTGTAGGATCCGAAGTATTAAAGGTTCAGGTACTGTGTTCTTAATTCAGTAGAAGCTAGTTATTAGTGTGCGACGTAGTTGTAATTGAGCGCATTTAAGCTGTCTTAGATTCAGTTGAGGGTCTGTAATAGTATCCTCTGTATTAGAGTATCTCACCTCTGCACTCTACCATAGTTCATGTACTTTAATTAGAATTGTATTGTGTCTGGTTGATATTTGTTAATAAGAATTAATAAATTAATTAGATTGGAAATAATGTCTGTGGATTATTCTATTCCTCCTACACATCTAGCCGAGTTTACAGGTAGAAAGAGGGTTAAGATGTAAGGAGCAACTAGTGGTTACCACAATGTTCATATTCTTCCACACCGTCCCTTTCTCCTGAAAACCACTTATACCATTCAAACACATGTGCACGAGTCAACATTTCTTTGAAAACAAAGTTAACTTTCAAAGTTAACATTTGAAATGTTTTCGTGGCTGATTTCTTCACAAGAAACTTGATGTTAATTCGACATTTTTTCCGGCAGAAGGCAGTTGCACGCGTTCACTCAATGACGCAGTTTTTCCAATTGGCGTGATGGGTGAAGGCGAATCGGGCCACATGAATAGGGGAGGTGAGTGGGATGACAACACCAACAAAATTGTTACCAACTCCACTCTGTTTTTAGGCTTTACACTTAGTCTAGTTTTTTTGTACCACAACTTGAATGTCTAATAGATTTAAAATAGAAGGAAAAATCTATAATGCATCTTAATCCCACTTGGTGGTTGCTTTTCAAAAACTTCATTCTTAGCAGATCTCTACTCCCCCCATAAAAGGAATATACTTATTAAATTTAAATTCTGTAGGTTTAATAATTCTGGAGATATCGTGATGAGTCAGTAAGTGTGTGAATGAATCGCTTTTGTCCTTTATTTATATGGAGGACAATTTTTTCAGTCCACAATTCTCATATAATTTACAAGTAAAACAAAGAAATGTTTATTTTATTAAATGTAAAAGACTGATAAAATTTTTAAAAAAATGAATGAATGTTTTTTTAATTTTATAAATAACGAGTGGGTGTTATATATATAAAGGTCGCAGTACACAAAGCAACATGAAGGCTATTACAGATATTAAATATTAGCGTCCAAGCCATTAGTTAATGAATATCCAATCCAATATTCTTATAGTTTACAAGCAATATAAGATTTTTCTATTCAAGTGCATTTCTAAACATTTTATTTATATATATCGTGTAAGACTTTAAGATCATTTCGAGATAAAATTATACATTTTAAATTTGAGATAATCAGTCTTTTTTTGAAAGCAAGTATCAAAATTATTCTGGCGCTACCGTCGTCCGCTAAGTAATGTTGAGTTTACCAGGTTCGCTTCACATTCAAAAGGTTTCCGGTACGATCCCGGACAGGACCATATGGAAGTGTATTTTCGTTTCATACTAAGAATAGGAAATGGAGTTTAATCAAGCGATGAACTTTATACACAGGGATATTTCGTTTTTTGAATTGAAAACTTTTTTAAAATTGTTTAAAAACTCATAGTCATGATTACAAAATAAATGTTTAGGCTCTATTTGTCTTAATATAATTCTAGCTGAAGTACGTTCTGCTGACCACTACAATGGATCCGTAGTGTATTGGTTATCACGTTCGCTTCACACGCGAAAGGTCTCCGGTTCGGTCCCGGACGAAAATATAATCAAGTGTTTTTTCCTTTTATACTAAGAACAGAAAATAAAGATTAATAAAGCGATGAACTTTGTACGTGGTGAAATTTCGTTTTTTGAATTGTAAACTTTATTTTAAATTGTTTAAAAATATTAGTCATGAATTCAAAATAAATGCTTGGGCTTGATGTGTTATTTCAATTCTAGCTGAAGTACGTTCTGCTGACCGCTACAACGGTTCCGTATTGTAGTGGTTATCACGTTCGCTTCATACGCGAAAAGTCTCCGGTTCGATCCCGGACCGAACCATAATCAAATGTATTTACGTTTTATACTAAGAATGGGAAATGGAGTTTAATAAAGCGATGAACTTTATATACGGGGATATATCATTTTTTGAATTATAAACTTAATTTTAAATTGCTTAAATCATATAGTCATGATTTCAAAATAAATGCTTAGGCTCGATGTGTCTTACTGCAATTCTAGCTGAAGTACGTTCTGCTGACCTCAACGATCTTTTCGTAATGTAGTGGTTATCACGTTTGCTTTACGCGCGACAGGTCTCCGGTTCGAAGCCGGACGGAACCTAAATCAAGTGTATTTTCGTTTTATACTAAGAACAGAAAATAAAGTTTAATAAAGCTATGAAGTTCATACACGGGGATATTTCGTTCTTTGAATTGTAAACTTTATTTTAAATTGTTTAAAAACATATAGTCATGAATTCAAAATAAATACTTAGGCTCGATGTGTCTTAATATAGTTCTTGGTTGAAGTACAGTGGTACTTCGACATACGAGTTTAATTCATTCCGCAACCTTGCTCGTATCTTGAATTACTCGTATCTCGAAGCAAATTTCCCCATACAAAACAATTGAACTACCATTAATCCGTTCCAACCCCCAAAATGTCACCCCAGTTATTTTTGTTACGTGGTTTTGAGTAATAAAAACGTATTTATAAATGAAAAATATTTATTGTACAAAAACAAAAAAAGAGAATGTAAAGAAATAAATTAGAAATCCTCACTGCCTTTTTCGATACATATTTCTCGTTTTCACCTGTAGGCCGTTTAGAAAGAAACATGTCTAAGGAGGTTTGTTTCTTCCTCCCTCCTCAGAATATTCCGGAAATGAGTTAGGCAAGTGTCTTTAATAAGATCAGATGCACGACCTGTTGTAACTTTTTCTGGGTGTTTCTTTTCCACGAACTATGAAACTCTCTCTCACATTCCTAAGATCTCCTTTATCTCACCTTGTAGAAATAACATCCTCCTCTGACTCCTCGAAACCAATTTCTTGCATAACCTCCGTATGCTGCTGTGACTGTAACTCTTGTATCTCCTCAGTCGTAAATGTAAATGTAAACGCAACACAAAACGCGAGCACAACTACACAACTTATCACAGCGGAAGCACGCTGCTAACTGATTCACTGACCGTGATGGGCGCGACCGCGTGCTACTACCGGCCGACCTGCTAAACCGAACTCGTATCTCGAATTTCGCTCGTAACTCAAAGCAAAAAATCACTCGCTCGCCGGCTCGTATCTCGAAAAACTCGTACGTTGGGGCACTCGTATGTCGATGTACCACTGTACGTTCTGCTGACCGCTACAACGGTTCCATAGTGTAGTGGTTTTCATGTTCGCTTCACACGCGAAAATTCTCCGGTTCGATTCCGGACAGAACTATAAGGAAGTTTATTTTCGTTTCATACTAACATTAGGAAATGGACTTTAGTATAGCGATGAACTTCATACTCTTGGGTATTTCGTTTTTTTTTATTGTAATTTTAATTTCGAATTGTTTAAAAACATATAGTCATGATGTCAAAGTAAATGCTTAGGCTCGATGTGTCTTACTGTATCTCTAGCTGATGCTGACCACTACAACGGCTTCGTAGTGAATTGGTTATCACGTTCGCTTCATATGGGAATGGACTCCGAAACTTTCCCGGATGGAGGTACACGGCTGAGTATTTACATTCATTCCTTAGAATAGAAATAGAGCTTCCAATATCGATGGACTTCATTCGGTTGGGTATTCTGTATTTTTTGTTATAAACTTTTTTTAAATTTGTGGCGTAACAAATGGTGATGATTTCAAAATAAACGTATCGGCTAGAAATCTTTTCCTGTAATTCTAGCCTAAATATGTTCTGCTGTCCTCTTCATTTTTTCCGTAGTGTAGTAGTTATTACTATCGGTACATTCGCGAAGGTTTGCGGTTCGACCCCGGATGGAATTACACGCTAGTGTGTTTTAATTTTACCTTCAGAATAGGAATTGTGGTTTATATAGCGATGAAATTCTCATGCATGGATATATCATTTTTTTATGTGAACTTTATTTCGGAAGATTAAAAACTCTTATACTACGGATTTTTTAACCATAGCAAAAGAAAACTCAATGAATGTTGTTAAGGCGGCAAATACATCCCACTCATTCAATACTTCAATTTTCTTAATATTGTGACAGTTTCTTTTAAAATAGAAACCACACCAATTGCCTTTGATATTTGCAATGCATCTTGTGAAGTCTGAAAAATGTACAACTTTTTATTTTCTTTGTTTTTGTATATTTGTGATGGTACACTCCCTAAAGGTAATGATCAAACTGTATCAAGTGAACATGATGAATTATGTTTCAGAATGTCTCCTGTCGAGAAGAATTTAAGAATAATATTGTCTGAAAAATTTATTTCTCTGATGAAAGCATATATTATGTGTACGTTATTACACACACGTAGTCATAGTAAATCAATAACTATATTTATTCTTATTTTTTTACATATCGATTTTCATCTTTGATATTTGACAGTAGTTGAGTAGTGACAATACACGTATCATAGTAAATAAAATATATTATTACATATCGATTCATCTTGATAGACAGTAGTTGAAAAAAGTATTGAAAAAAAAAAAAATAGAACAAAAACACTATGTAAAAGAATGCACTAAGATGTAGGAAATGAAACAGCGTAGATTTTACCAAGTATTTATAACTTTTTTTCAACCGACACTGATAAAACATTGTATTTTCTTTTTGTGGATTGCGAGAAAAAAATTAGCGATGGTAATCCGTTTTGATTTTATAGATATGATCAATACTTATCATCTTGTAATAGCCATTGCAACAAAAACAATCATTATCCATATTTTTTATTTCCTATATATTTCCAGTAGTTTATATTGAAATAACCTTTGCGATCTGATCGTTTTTCTAGTCTTATTTTCTGTAATAATTTATAGTACCTGCTAGTTGAAGATGCATGTTTCTAAATTCCTTCTGTGACTCATTTTTTTAAAAACAAAAACACTTTTGGTGCTGGTTTCTATTTATGTATATAATTATTATTAGCTTTTTTAAAGCATAAAATGCAAAACTCTGTTTACATTTTTAATTATATTATGTATTTCTAGCCATTTAGAAGTTAACAAATATGAAAATTACAGCATAGAAGCAGAGAATTTTTAAAATTTAGAGAGAAATATATAAACTTAAATATTTATTTTTAATTGTTCTGAAATGACTAAATGAAAAGCAAATATGTTGTATTTACTACCATTTTGTACAAGTTATTCAAAATGCTATATCTAAATGATAATGACAGAGGAGTACATAATGCATGCTTGTTCAAATGTCCCAATGTAAGGTTCGTGTAAAAAGGAAATTGCATACCTAATAAAAAAATATGAACATTCTGTTTATCTACCTTGAACGAGAATTATTACTGTACTCATTAATTTTTTGCTTATTTAAGTTGTATTTCGAAGCTACTCGAGGGCTGTTGAAAGTTAAGTAAAATATTTCTGTAACAGAAACTGATGTTAACTGTATAAACAGTCTCCCCCCTTCCCTCAGATAATCTGGTCCTAGCCGCAGTATGCTAGTGATTATGGTGCCACTTGTAACGGGTCTATCCGCGAACCTCTTACTAATCCTCTTGGAGAAAACTGTTTCTTTTAAATGTTGTTTTATTGAAAACTTTCTCCCGAAGAAGAAGACGTGGTCTATGTTATTTATGTCGGGTATTTAAGTATTAGCTTTCGGGTTCGAGAAAGAGAGAGAGAGGTTAGAAGCTAAATGATCGCTGGTAGGATTAACTTAAGATAATAGAAAGCTAGACGAAAATGTCAGTAGATTATCTGCTTAATATCTATGATTGAAGAATTGTCAATTAGACAATTGAATCGAATTAGCATTGACTTGAAGAAAGTTATTAAATTTACAACTAAATTTACGCATATCGTCTTCCTCGTTCTTGTTCCCTTAATTAGTTTACGGTGCATTTCCTAATCTTGGGTCGTTCAAGTTTGTTTGGTTGTTGAGACTTGAAAATAAATTGTGTTTGATTTGAGTATGGCTAGGCCGCGGTAGCCAAGAGGTCAAGGTATCGGATTGTGACTGGTATGTCATGATTTTGGGCCCAGTGCCACTCAGCCTCTGAACACCCGCCGTGTAAGGGGGCAATGCACGTTGGGTCTGTCGAGAGCTAGGGCGTCCTCCCGTTGGTATGGTGTGGTGATTTGGAGAGGGGGTGCCATCTCGGGTGTCGTCCTCGTCACTGTACCATAGTTCAAAATTACAGGGGGCCGTCGCCAAAAGCCCTCGTATAACTTAACAGTGCGACGTTAATATTCACTCACTTGAGTATGGCTAATCTTCCTTCTAACTCTCGTAAACTGATAGTTGGGGAAGCCCAACCATCACAGTATGAACTGATTGAATGGAAACACGTGATTAGCGTTATCGTGGGATAATCACGGTTTATGTAAACGAAAGAGGATATTTTAGCATTAACTTTTAGGTCCGCGGAGTTAGTGGTTAGGAGTTAGATGTTGGCATCTTGTGGTTGGCGGGCTATACGAGAGTTGCTCGACGATTAATTGATGAATAATTAAGGATAGGTAATTGAAGATTTAGTCAATAAGTTGGATTAGATTAATAACGACTAGAGGTCGAATAGCTGAGAACGGATTACGGTAATTTAGACTGTACATAACAAAAACGCTCTAAGAATAAGTTAATTGAATTATAATTAAATATTGAGTATCCTTCCTACCATGATTTTGCTCCTATACTTAATAAAAGGTCCATTTACTAACCTGGGTCATTAGAGTTAATTGATAGAATAATAAAATCGATTTGCTTTGGCTGATCGTTATTTTAATCCCCAAACACCATTGAACGTGACACAGCACGTTCATCACACACTGAAATTGTAGGGCCACTGAAGACCAGCGACGTAGATGCATTTTAAATCGGTCGTCTTTAAAAGTTTCTCACGTTGGTGTGGTGTGGTAGTTAGGAGAGGGGGTGCCAGCTCAAGTGTCGTTCTCGTCCCTTGACTATAGTTTAAAATCATGAGATCCGTTGCCAAAAGCCTTCGCGTAGCTGAACAGTGCGACGTTAATATTCACTCACTCACTCACTCACTTAACTTAGTGCTTCTGTGACGGATCTATACACGGCCTCTAACTAACTCCTTGGAGATTCTTTAATGGGAATAATTATTTCAGCCAACTTTCACCGAAGGTAAGAAAACGCGATTATGCAAATTAAGTTTATTATATAAATTCTGTATTCTCGCGAGTTTTGAGAGTTAGTGAAGTGAGAATCTAAGATTATTAAAGTGAGAATTGAAGATTACCAAAGTGTGGATCGCTTGGATGCGAGGTGATCACAAGCCAACCTTTAGTGTTCAAGGTCTCAGCTATAGGACTTTTGAATTACAAGAGTTCAGGTATTGTGCTCATTATTTAAATAGAAGTTAGAGAGTAAATTGTTAGTGAGCGTCCGAGTTAAAAACGAGCTTGTATTAGTTATTGTAGAAATTAGTTAAATGTTCATAAATATTATCCCCAGGCTAACTGGTCTCAACTTCGCGCTCTAAGGGTTGATCAAAACTATCTTAATTGGATTTATTATTGTGTCTGTGTTGATTATTGTGGCAATAAAACAATTTTAGTGAATCATGTAGTCTGATCAATTAATTCCTCCCACACATCTAGCCGGGTCCGAGAGTAGACAAGGGGGGGGGTTAGAGGAAAGTAGGAATAGTCCCTCATTACACTTCGTCAAAAACAATGTTCCTAACCACCTTTTCCTCTAAATTTCACTGAACTGCACCTTGACAGAGCCACTTACAATTGTCCATAAGTAAATGTTGTTTCCTTCGATGTTACACATAAGCAGACTTTTTCAAAACTCTGTCCCTGTGATTTATTAATAGCCATGACAAATGCCCATCTTACAGGAAATTGCGTACGTTTCAGTAGGACGGGCATGTCCAAGTTTCTTCGAGGGTTCAAATTTGTAACCATAATATTAAGCTACCTTTGCTACCTGATACTTGCTACCTTTTTTATTATTGTTCTCGTGTGTGAGATAAATAAATGTTTTTCATCATCACGAAAAACTTTTTTTTATACAGAAAGAGAGATATTTATTTCTCGTCTTAAAATAAAATAAATATTTTCGATAATTTATTTTAAAATTGAGATCTGTTCAATGAAAATGAAATATTTCTTACCATTTTATTCACATACTTCTGAAGTTTAAGATACATGACGTCTTAAGCGTACCATTTAATTGATTATGATGAGAAAGCCTTTTAATTTATGAAGTTTTTCATATTTACTATTACATTTTAACGATTTTACTTAAAATCATCAAATTAAGTCAGTAAA